AAGTTACGTTTTTTAAGAAATCCCTAAATTTTCATGTTACAACATTCAATACCCAAATACCTTTTTCGCAATTTTTAAAATGATGATATTGCCTCAACTTGGGATTTTGAAAGTCCTGCGTCTAATACCCCTAATAAAACACTTGGAAAGTGTTTATAAGGCCGGAGGGCCTAGGTTTTCTCAAGAGAACTTCAGATTTTGAGAATTCAAAATTTATTGAATTTCAGATTTTCTAAATCCTTTTAACTCTTTGGAATCCAACAAGCACAATCGGATTTGTTAAATTAGAAGTTATCTTAGGAATCCTTGGCCTCCAAGTGAAGTGTTTCTTTTTCTCTTTTACTTAAAGGTTCAATAACTTCGATTTTGCAAGTTCTAAAGTTAGTTGCAGTTTGGAAAAAAAAAAATTTTAAAAAATGAAAAATGCATATAAATGTAATATTCACATATTTAAGGAGTTTTTTATAATGATCATATATTTTTTGTATAAGGATATCACAATTATTTTTTATCTGTCAAATTTTAAATAAGTAGTTTTAAGTACTTTTTGATAGCCGTTCAAATAGTAAAAAAAAAACTCTCGATAATGATGATGATAATTTGATTGAGATAATATCTTTGTAATTTAGTGTAGATGTCATTGACATGATCCCCTACAACGGTTTCATCTGCGACGTTCATCCCAGGGAACAGTGAATGGATGCCAGAGTGTCGTATTGTATCTTAACATATGCCCACTTGTGTACACCGGTAGTATATATATGAAGACCTAAGGTCATTCTGAACCATCTCTCAACAGGATCGGACGTTGATAATCTCGTTCTGTATTATTTACTGAACACCGCTGGTGTATGGTAGACCATTGGCAGAAAGCCTCGGCAAGACAAGAGAGAGAGAGAGGAGAGGAACACCGGACATATTAGAGAGAGAGAGACTGTTGAAACTGTAGAGAGAGAGAGAGACTGTAAAAACTGTAGAGAGAGAGAGAGAGAGACCTTGGAAAGAGTGGAGAGAGAGTTGGAAGGCATGGGTCACTTGCCGCCTCTTACTCCGGGAGCCTCTGGAAGAGAGAGAAAGGGAAGAGAGAGAAAAGAAATGTTGGGTTTTGGCCATGGCTATCCCTCTCCTCCAAAACGGGGAGCATTACTCCCAACTAGTCCAGTTTCGGAGCTCATCTGGTTACGTCCTATCCGAAATTCATGAAGCAAACCATGGCGTCTTTTCTGCATCATCCTAAAAGAAAACCCATTTTGTCGAGCTCTCAGCTGTCAAGATTCAGTATCCATGGCGCTGTTAATCCATTTTCAAATTATCAGAAGCTCGATGAAGCTATAAAGTCACTGAAAACCGAGAGAAAGGTAGAAACCCGTGCATGTGTTCAATTGTTAGATTCTTGCATAGGCCTTAAAGCATTGAACCAAGGCCTACAAATACATGGCTATATCAATTCCTGCAAAAATCTCTGTAAAAATGCCTTAATACTCGAAAAGCTCACAATTTTTTACATCACCGTGGGAGAGTTCGAATTGGGGCGCTCTGTTTTCAATACAATCACAAAACCTACTGTTTTCTTGTTCAATTTTGTGATCAGATCATATGCTTGGAACACTCCCATGGATGAAGCTCTTACTCTGTATTATAAGATGCTAGAACTGGGAGTAAAACCCAATAAATTTACATTCCCTTTTGCTCTCAAAGCTTGTTCTGGTCTTCTATCTTTAGAGGATGGACAGAACATTCATGGAGACGCAGTGAACTGTGGGCTAGAGGGAGATGTTTTCGTGGCCACTGCTCTAATTGACATGTATTCTAAATGTGGGAACTTGGGAGAAGCTAGAGCAGTGTTTGATAAAATGATTAAAAGAGACATAGTGGCTTGGAATGCCATGATTTCAGGCTTAGCATTCCATGGCTTCTCAACCGATGCCATCGTGTTGCTTCATGAGCTACAGAGGGCCAATGAGAAGCCAAACCCTTCAACTCTGGCTTCAGTTTTGCCTGCATTTGGCCAAGTATTAGCTCTGAGACATGGAAAAGCTGCACATGCTTATTGTATTCGAAGATGCTTTGTTAATGATGTAATGGTGGGAACCGCACTCTTGGACATGTATTCAAAATGTGAGAACTTAAATTATGCTTCCAAAATTTTTATGACAATGCATGATAGGAATGAGGTCACATGGAGTGCCATGATATCAGGGTATGCTCATTGTGATCATCCAAAAGAGGCATTGAACCTCTTCGATCGAATGCTTCATTACTATGATCAGAGACCCACAACGGCTACTTTAGCTAGCGTTCTTCGAGCTTCTGCTAGGCTTTTGGATGTGAAGAGAGGGAAAGAGATCCATAGTTTCTCAATCAAAGCTGGGTTTGTTTTGGATTTAACTGTGAGCAATTCTATTCTCTCCATGTATGCCAAGTGTGGATACATGGACCAAGCCATTGAATTCTTTTATGAAATGCTAGTGAGAGATTCTGTTTCATACAGTGCGATAATATCGGGTTGTGCACAGAATGGGCATGCCAAAGAAGCCTTGCACATCTTTCGTGAGATGCAAATGCAAGGCTATGAGCCTGAGCTTGCAACCATGGTGGGTGTTATCCCGGCTTGTGCTCATTTGGCTGCTTTAAAACACGGTCAATGCAGCCATAGCTATGTGATTATACATGAGTTCTCAAATGAAATTTCAGTTGGAAATGCTCTTGTAGACATGTATGCAAAGTGTGGAAGCATAAGCTCTGGTCGAGCTGTTTTTGATCGGATGCCAAAGCGGGATGTGGTTTCATGGAATTCAATCATCGCTGGCTATGGCGTCCATGGACATGGGAAAGAAGCTCTCTCTCTCTTCATGGAGATGCAAGCTTCTGGAGTGAAACCTGATGATATCACCTTTGTGTGCCTATTATCAGCATGTAGCCACTCTGGTCTAGTCTCCGAAGGGGAACAGTTATTTAAAATGATGGGTTTAGATTTTGGGATTACACCAAGAATGGAACACTATATATGTTTCGTTGATCTTCTTGGACGAGTGGGTCACTTACAAGAGGCCCATAACTTCATTAGAAGTATGCCAGTTGAACCAGATGTTCGGGTATGGGGTGCCTTGCTTGGTGCTTGTAGAATTCATAGTAATCTTGAGCTTGGAGAAAAAGTCTCTAAGATCATTCGTGAACTAGGACCTGAAGGGAGTGGAAATTTCGTGCTTCTGTCAAATATTTATAGTGCTGAAAAGAGATGGGAAGATGCTGCCTTTGTAAGGATTACGCAAAGAGATCAGGGGTTTCGAAAGAGCCCTGGTTGTAGCTGGATTGAGATTGGTGGCTCTATTCATGCTTTTGTGGGTGGAGATAGATCACACCAACAATCAGTGATGATCTATGAGAAACTTGAGGAGTTGTTGAGAGAGATTAAGGAGTTGGGGTATCGACCTGATACGAGTTTTGTTTTGCATGATGTGGAAGAAGAGGAGAGAGAAAGAATACTTCTTTACCATAGTGAGAAGTTGGCTATTGCATTTGGGGTTTTGAATTTGGGACCAGGGAAGCCTATTCAGATTACAAAGAACCTGAGAGTTTGTGGAGACTGCCATACCGCTATCAAGTTGATCTCCATTGTTGTGGAGGCAGATGTAGTGGTGAGAGATGCTAACCGGTTTCACCATTTTAGAAGTGGGATATGCAGTTGTGGTGATTTTTGGTGATCATTTATAGTGGAGACTGCCATACCGCTATCAAGTTGATCTCCATGTTGTGGGGGCAGAAGTAGTGGTGAGAGATGCTAACCGGTTTCACCATTTTAGAGGTGGGGTATGCAGTTGTGGTGATTTTTGATGATCATTTATAGTGCATCCCTGAAGGGATCAGAAGCAAAATAAATAAATAAATAAACAAATAAATAAATAAATATATATATATATATATATATATATTTATTTTTTTATTTATTTATTTATTTATTTTTTTCACCAAATCCATGACACTGTATTGTTAGTCACTGATCCACCATTTGGGCCCCTTGTTTGCTGAGTTTAGAGGCATTGTGCAAACCATCGCCAAGCAGCAATTCACACTCTATCTGGGCAGGGTTCTGATCCCTTTCCATCCTTACTGTATGGAGCACAATGACGGGTTCTGATACCCTTCCATCCTTATTGCACGGTGCACAATGACATGCTGTGGCTAACCCATTACCTTGAACACCAAACCCAAACAAGGCTTTAGCTTAAGAAAACTCATGGATAAATGACCCAAGTCATGTTTGGGCCCAAAATACATTGTCTTGTCACGACAAATTTACCCACCATCCAAAGATTCACCAGAGCTGACCTGAAATTCAACTTTGTGTAATTGACGAGTACCAAGCTGATTGTTTTTAATAGCACCTGTGGAAGATGTGCCTCCAACTTCTTCAGTTATGTTGCTTTCCGTTTTGTTGCATTGCGGCCCTGGTTGCTTTAAAAGGGTTCAAGAGTCATCCATAAATAATAGCTACTGTGTATGTTTTAAAAGTGGTCTCAGACCCTCACAAACTCTGTTCATATTGACTGCTCTACTCACTACCACTGAGGCATCTGGTAGGCCTCCATGAATGGACCCTACTTTTGGATCTTGAGGGCTTATATGCCCTTAATCCCAAAACTAAAAATGTTGAATGGTGTGTAAGCTATTGCATAGGAAATTGTAGTTAAGAAAAATGCATTTAAAAAAGGAGAACTTTCTATATCCTCAATTAATGATAAATGATATGTGTTTGGGGACTCTTGGCCTTCCAATTAAATCATATGCCAAAAAGAAGCCATATAAAATGTCAGACTTTGTAGGTAATTGGCTGGTAGCTGATTTCTTCTCTGTGTGTCTTCTATCTCACTATCTACTTTGTCCCACCTCTCTGTCTCTCTCTATCCAAGGTTGTCCCCTGATCTCTCTCTCCCCTTTATTTGTCACCCCCCAAATCCCATCGAAATAACCATGTATACTCTCATTTTTATCACCTTTTTGTGCATAATGTCAATCTTCTCTTCTCCTTGCTCTGATGATTCCATAGCATGATAAACCATTTGCAAAGATGGAATTCAAAGACCCAAATCAAGACGCCCTGGAAAATTGGGAGAAAATCTTATTGGATTTTGGAGATCAATTGGCCAGGAAAAGGGCCCCTCTTATGGTAGATTGGGTGCTCCTTTTCTCACTGGTTTTATGGTTTTTCTTAGGTGTTGCTCTTACAAAGTTCCAAAGGTCCTCTTTCTTTGTATGAATCTTATGATGATGGTTCATCTTTGAATTTTACCGATCTAGAATGCGAACTTGAACATTCAAGCTTCAAAACAATTCGGGGTATTTAAGAGATGCAGAAAGGTCCTTGCTTTCTAAACTGTAACAAGGAGTTGGACCCAAAAGGGAATGAGGAAGCGGCATATAATCTATGGTAAATGTTAATTTGTGGGTAACAATCACATTGTGATTGAGACGGGAGAATTACAATGCATATTCTTCTTCCATGTCTTTTGAGAAAGCAGGAACCTATGCGAGAAAACGTGGGTCTTTTGAAGCATGAGTTCTACCGATATTAGTAGGGTTTTTGCTGGTTTATGGGGAAGTTTGCCCGGTCATTTGGACTCAAAATGTATTAGTACATAACAATCAGCACGAGCCCTGTTCATCATAGAGCTGCAAGAAGGTAGAGGAGAGAGAGATCATTGGGTGGGGGAGGGGACAAAGGAAATGTGCAGCTGAGCATTTTGTGAAGATAGTTGACTGTCATCCTACACCTGATTATCTTCTATAATGAGTATGGGAAACTTTTTATTTTTACTTTGTTGCTTTTTAAAATGAATTGTTTATGATATATTGATCGTAAAAAGTCATACATTATTTTAGGGCAATGGGGTGAATTCATGCAGATTTCTTCTTGTACTTCGAGTTTCTCTTTGATTGATTTTTTGAGAAAATTGGTACTCAAATTTGTTAATCTTTGGGAGATGAGCTTGAATTTAGCACTGGAGATATACGCCTCTTTAACGTCTTTGCATCTAACCTCCTCATCTCTCGTCTCCCTTTTTCTCAAAATTTGTCTCTCTCTCTCTGACCAGATTTGGTTTTCTTGCTTCTCTAACCTAAACTTGATCGTTTCTCCCCGTAGTTCACATTTCTAGTACTCTTTTTTTCAGCGCTCTATTGCTATGGCTGATAAAAAATTTCACATTAATCTTATGAAATTTCATGCACATTCTATTGCAGCTCATCTCGTGCACGAGAGCAGCAATAGAATTCAGCACTGGATATACCCTACTCAAATATGTGGGCTTCATTGGCTATGGCTTGATGCGGAGAGATATCTCTATCTCTCTCTCTCTCTCTCTCTCTTTCAACATATAAATCTAAAAATGGATAACCATGTGGGCTTGATTGGCTCTATTTATTAGGCCCCAAGCCAGTCAAGCCAAAGCTATACGTGGCTTCTCATCAGGTTTGGAAATCACATGTGAATTGATTAAAGGATG